TTACCAGACGTCAAAGGCCTCGAAAAGCCATGTATAGGTATGATTATAATAATAATAGTTAACATTTCGTATAAACTCGTAAGTTTACAAGAAATGCATGCCACTTTTACAGGCACGATCAGTTATGTTATAAATTACAATCGTGAATTATCATAAATTAGCAATTTTTCGAAAGTTTAAATTGTTGAATTATTGTATAGGCAATCAGAACAGGTTCGTGTAAATGTTAAATTGTAAACCCTTCACTAAGGTTACCATCAAGGTTGAGTGCCAACCCAGACTTCGTTCCGTTTCTTGCTGATAGTTATTGTCAACCGGTGAACAGCCTATATTTGGTAACTGCTATTACCCCTCCATGTGATTAAAAGCTATTTCAGGAAGGGAAGAACGTCCCGGTAAACTGCAAAATGGTATAAAATACGATTATGTATATACATTATTGGAAGTACATTTACAAGATATATACGAGAAGGAGCTATAGAGTCTTTGAAATGATAGCATACATTTGCAATATTTAATGCCAAGCATTTTGGTCTTACCATGGAAACTCTGACGTTTTCGATAGAAATATGGCTTTGCTCAAAAATTGTTGTTGTTGTACTCTTTTCCACCAAAGTAACCAGACTTTAAATAAGCAACGGATATAAACAAAGAGTAAGTTTTAGCTTTATTTAAGGCCCAGGTAGTTAGGATAAAGTAGAGCATACTAGTGAGTAAACAGAAAGATTATCGTAAGATGGATAAGTGATATTTCAGTGAGAAGTGAATTCAAAGATCTGGAAGAATAGAACCCGTAGGACAAGTTGACCTGTAAGATATATCAGAAATTTCTGTAGGGCCCAAGGGATAGCATCTTGACAAGAAGCTGAACAGGCTTGTAGATGTTAGGAGCAAAAGCATTTTAGAAAATTTGGACACGTAAACCCTTATTGTTTTTTATTTAGGATCTAGACTCATATCAAAAAATGCATGTTACTGTCCTACAGATTGTGACCACCACCGTATCTGCTGATCAGCATACGCCACCCTCCCTCCTTTTTTGATGTTAAGCTATGAAATTTTTTGGCAATATCTGTAGCTGTAGCACTGCATTGCTTTGAGCCCGTCCCAGTTACACAGTATGCTGCACATAAGTAGCTTTCATTACAATGCTTCCCAATAGGTCATCAGATACATCAATAACTGAGGACATTCTTAGCAGTACTATCCTTATACATGCATACATGTATATAAGTAGCTGTTGTAAACGTCCAGGAAATGGAGTTTCCCTTAAAAATTTATAAGGTACTGAAGTAGTTAGTATTACAGCAACTAAGTTATAGTCTATTTAACCGAGTGAAATGAGTAGTGAAAGAATTAGTGATAAAGTTATACAGAATGATCCTGAAGAAAACAGCTGGTTAACAGAACTAGTAAGGTAAATTTTCATAACCGATTTTCATAAGGCGTGCGTTAAACATTGCAAAGTACCCCATCAACTTATGCTACGTAAAAATGCTGCGAAATGTCATAAAATTATACATTTTAGAAAAGTATATAAAATTCTTGAAGGCGCTTGTGTAGAACTTACACGATTTACTACGAGAACGGCAGCTGAACAGTGGCACAGATTTTACTGATCACACAGCGCGACAAACTATTTAGGATCTTCTTTAGGATGACGGCACGAAGTTTATGGATACGTAATAGGTAAGAGGTTTTACAAATCACACTTTAAAGAATTCTGTAAGGACAAAATCCTTTTAACAATCACCGAGGTTGAACAGTCGAATAAATGCCCAGGTTCGTAGTCTCCTATGCACACGTTTCAGATTTGCAACGAACTGACTTCTGACAGTTATACTGTGGTGAGAGCTGTCTGCAAGACAAAATTGTGGGCAACAATTGAAGTTAATGTTTACGTCCCGAATCAAGGTTAGGAGGGAAAACAAGAACAAAGCCTAACCTTGAGGAACTCAACAGCCAATCACAGCAAACTTAGCGTGGGCGGGTACAATTCGCTGATATATGACCGGACTGTCTAAGAAAAAGCAACAAAGAGGTGACAGAATAACCTCCAGCGGGAAAACAACCAACCAGAAGACGTTGCTTCTATGCTAACAATAATGAATAATAATATACATAAAAATCTATAAGTATCTGTTGATTTTCTCAAAAAACGATCTGTTGCCTGGCCCTTGTCTTCTGTCATTACAGAACCTTCAAGAAATAGAAAATGTATTAGGATAAACGAGAAATTAGGATAGAAATTCGATTTTAGCAGGCGACCGATAAACGATGATCATGAGTTGTCTTCGAAAAATAACGCATATGTACCTAGGGCATTCAGTAATTTTCATTCGTTGAAAGGTACTTCACCAAAACACATGTAACATAAATACATGCAAGTCATTGGCATATGTACATCTGCACTCTTACCCTCGCCAGTCAGCTCATCGGACTGTTGGGAAGCGCAGTTCAGACTACCATGGGGCAGAGAGTTACCAACTTTATGCCTATATGAGTGCGGATCGCATGGTCTATATGTGTGACTAGACAAAGTCCCATTTATAGCTTGTAGCTTAGTGATCTCTACATGCTTAACACACCAAATGCCATCCTTGATGAGCGGTACCTATCAGCATACTGGACTGTCAAGTAATCTCATTATCACTCAACCACCGAATACTGATACAGAAGAACGTACGTTAATCTGTAAATAAACATGAGACATATGTGAGCAGTACCCATGTAATACTTTTTCGACAATTTGACTGTGAGTTCTATCTTTGTGTTTAGCACTGCGATGCCCGGATGGTGATGGATCACTTTCACTGTCGCACCGTCCTTCATTAACCACTGTTATGAAATTCTTAAAGGTGCTTGTGCACAGCTCACACGATTTACAATGAGAATGGCAGCTGAACAGCTGCAAGTGAGCAGAGATTAGTGATGGGTTTCACATGGTGCTTACAACATTTATAGGTCTGCACCCACTCATATAATCCTATCGGAAATCATGAGGAGAAATTTTTTCACCGATGTCTTGAGTTGTGGGAAGTCATAACTGTCTTCATTGATGATTTATTTCCATAACACGTGACTTGACGCATGACTTAAGGTAGCGTTGTTCCCCAGATACGCTCTACAGTTTTCTGGATGGTATATGAACTTTGAATATAAAACACACTGGTAACCGATCAAAAGTTTCCATTAGTTTTCAAAGGGTACAAGTAGAACGAATCATCCTCAATATAAATGGATCAGCCTGATGCTTACCTTAACTCGTGCACAAGTGACCAGTCTTCTTCATAAGGCCAGGAGCAGTATTGACGTTTCCAGAATTCGGCTTATTCAAGTTCACATCAGCCGACCATCTTGACACAGTGTAGCAATGGTTCTGTCTATATTGTTAATACCTTCGTTGCTCATCACACCCTGATCCAGGCATGGCTAATATTACCACCTACAAACATACATGTGGCAGACGACGTACATAATGTGTCACTGTCAGAGTACCAGCATAGAAAGTAATTTGATTTGCAGGAAAATTTAATAACAATAATAATGGTCTATTCTCAGCTTAGTAAACATGGAAGATATCAGTTTACAGACATCATCGATATGGTAAAAGTAATGCAACTTGGATTACGTATTAAATATAGAAGCTGGTGTGTTATACATTCTAGGATAACAGATACACTAGTGTTCATGTACAAAGCACATAGACGACAACAACAACAGTAAGCAATTTTCGCATACTTAAAGAATGGTTTCTAAGCTCATGTAGTTATACTAGTTTATACAATGCAAAGCTGTGCTAAGTGCGCGCAACATTTAAAGTGTTAGTCACAAATAGTCGACAAGATATATCACTTAAAAAACGCCTTCTTTACGAAAATGCCTGTCACATTGTTACTAACATCTTCGACGACAATGGTGACTAGAAGTAACTCACCAGAATAACCACTACATGATTTTCTGAAACTTTTACTTAGACGAATACTACCTTATCACATTACATCATGTAATAACTCTGAATATGACGAAAGTATCGTGCCATGGTACAGCAGTTCATGTCAATGCTGTAAACTACACGTTCAATCCTTACTGCTGATAAGCCAACCTAGAGCGACAATGATTGCCGTGACTTGGCACACGTCTGCGTTAATTTATGGCTTTTGTAAATAGATAGAACATTTGCTCCTCAGAAAGAATACACCAACTTGGCTAGTTCAGGGACGCCCCACTGCGTTTGGAGATTCTGGGAAACTGGTCTTTGCTACCACTGCAGTTGCTCCTCAAGCACAACAGAGTTATAACAATGGACACAAAGTGCTCTAAATTCTCTGAGGAACTGAAGTTTCAGAAGGACATTTTCCCATCTAACATTCAAATGAGACACCGATTTCCAACTAGCGATCACAAGACAGTTATCTTATTTTTTAACAATACACTTTATTCATCAAATTTGTCTACTTCTTAGCTTAGAAAAATCATGTAGTCCAGCACCAAGTGGAATGAGTCTACTAAACTCACCGAATACTTACGTTACTGCTGGTTGTTTTTAGCAGCAATTTCCCTACATTATTTCGAACTCATATGGATCTAGATGTCGCAGAACGTCACAAACTAAGAATGATAGCACACTGTCACGCGGTGGCAGATGGAAGTTTACATCATTATGGGCAGTATTCAGAGCGTTTACTGGAATTATCAGTGATATTTTCACTTCTTTATGTTTATCTCTGGTGTGGTCAAAACTAGGAAACTGCATCCAGACTGTCTTAAGGAGGATTAACTTACCAGTCTGAGTCTTCTCTCCTTATCATACGAAAGGCAGTGAGATGTCATTATATTGTTTAAAATTCTAACAAATTACTATAGGATCGGTCAGTCTCTTTTTTCCCCACACCAGGAAGGACAATTTTGGATGAAACAGCGGGAGAGTTCAAAAAGGTAAGAAGAAACTATATCACTGTGGAATACTGGTTCTCCCACCGAGTCATAAACTCTTGGAACCGACTCCCAGAATAGGTGGTATCAGCAGCCTCAAATAACTTATTCGAGAAGGAATTCAACAAGCACAGAAACTCATAATAAAAGGGTTACCATAGGCTTCAGTTCTTATGCATTCAAACAATAAACCTGAATCTGAAATATGAGGAAATTCGAATGGTAGCGTTGCGTTGGTACGACCTTCAGCTCACCTCACCTATACAAATTTTGGTCTAGAAACGAGGCTGAAAGTAAGAGAAAAGATGGGTCATACAATAAGCATGTTTTTCGATGAATGCTCCAAGTATTTATTTACGTATTTCAGGTGTAGCCGGCTAGCCGATTCACTTTTGACGTTCTTTTTTAAGTCATAGTGTATTAATATATGAAATCCTATATGACAGTCGTCGTAATCCCCAATAGTTCGGTCTTTGCTTAGAGTTAACTTGTTTGTGTCCACTTCTTCCATTAATAATGTTAGACTTGAGATTTACAATTGACATATGTGAACACATCACTTGAAGGATATTCTTCAAACTTTTTAAAATTTTTATGGTTTTCATGCATGAGCTTAAATTGTATCATCACAAATTTTTTTTTGACTACAGGAATTATTGATTCGTGATATTCGTTCACTTCCCGATGCATTTTGTTGTCAGTCAGAAACCACATAAAGAAGAGCCAGACTAACAATACTGATTTTTATTTTGTTATAAACTGACATTTCTAAAGGAAACCATTTGACTTCTGTCAGCATCGCTAGTAGATTGATGATACTAGTAATACTCTATGAGATTGTACCTCCAATATCTTGAAAGTACCAATCAGCAGCATAAAAACATGTCACATTCTGAGTTTAGTTGGTTTCTCATGTGATTCTAACACAAAGTCAGCTTAACATGTCATACTTGTAGATTGGTTACTTCGAGGCCTAGTTGGGACTTTTGATAGAAGTCCTAAAATATTGTGCACCAGTAATTATCATAAGTCATATTGTTAAGAGTCGATCACTAGTTTAGATACATTTTCTATCCATTCTTTGAGATGTTCTGAATGGCATACTATTATTCATTCATATGATGCTTTTCACATTCTAAGTTATTATAACTGTACGTCTAGTCTTCCACTGCTGTTGCAAAATGTAATAAACTCAATTGAGTTTATATGCAAAGCTATACGTTAGATTTTGTCTCTGTTTCGCTGATAAATGACTTAATTTGACTATAACTTATGGTAGGTGACAGACAGCTAAATTTGAAAGATTTGTAACTCAAGATATGAAAAGAGGCAGGTTGACATTCTTTGATCGCTGGGCGTATATCTTTCATGATCATGATCTGCGGCACTAACTTCACAACATATCTGTAATATGACATCAGTTCAACTGCGCTCATCATCTAGGCTTTTTGTTGTTAAACAAACTGAGAACGTCATGGTGAACCTTAGCAAGGAGTCCGCTGGTGTGATTCTTCACAAATTAAATCGTTTCAAACTAATTTTGTCACTTTAGCGTGGTAGTCGTTGCATTTCTTGATATTATGGTCGCTTCCTTTTTGTAGAATAGCACTATTCTCTGAAATTGTCTGTCTCACTTGTCGATGTCATATAGACCACATAAATCCCACTTAATCAGATGGTACTCCGTGTTTCTGGGCATAGTGTGTGTTTCTCATAATCAAGGTGGACGTGCTTTTGCGAGATAAGTCGAAGTCTGCAGCGACACTGTTACTGACGAAACACAAAATAATTGGGAAGTTAATATATCTAGCTGATTATGTGATAAGATCAATTATATTGTATGTCAGAAGCCAGATCTGCCTATACCAATATCAACTTGTAATACTGTCGCAATGCTTCTTTGGGCTATTAGAGGTTGTATTTACAATGCTTCAGTACATATTCATGTTGTATGCCCTTGAGAAATAGGTCTCTTGAATCTTAGAATATCTGGTGGCCGCATATTGTATCATATTTGTTCTCTTGGTGGCGCTAACATCAGATAACAGTATTATGTAAGCCCGGTGCATGAGCATCCTCCCATTAAGATCCAAAAGTCATGTCAATCAGCAACTTTGGACAGCACCAGATATGATTCAGTGGTTATTATACTCCAACATTCTTGTTTTTATTACCATAGAAATTAACACGAGATGACTGTTTTTTGATTGTAATTAATGAGAACGCCTGTCTGATCATTCTGTTACCCTCTGACCACATTTTCTGTGTTCTCCATATTATTATTATTATTATTATTATTATCATACTAGTAATTTTGATGCATTTCGTGTCGCATATGCTCCACTCAGATTTTTTCTAAATCATAATAGCAGTATGTTGACCAGACTCTTATTTATTTTCTGGTCCTGGAGAAAATTATTTCTATCACTTCCGATTGTTAATTTTTCTTCTTGTCATGAGACTTCTATTAATTTTAATGACTGAAGAGACAAGTACATACAGTAGATCATAAGCCACACCTAGTGTGAGGACTACATCCTAATTCAAACACAAGTAAGTATAGTGGAGTTCGCACTGGTGGTCCACCAGTTTAATCCATAAACTGCAACATAATGGAATTTTGATTTTATGTATCACGATAACATAAACTATTCATTAGAACTCAAATAGTTATGCATAGGCTCGTTGAGACTTAACACTGAACCATTAATACCAGAAAGTTAGAGTAGAATCTGCGCATTGTGGTGAAGTAAAATTCTATGTTAAATTTAGATGATTCGGTTCACTGGCTTTAGCATTCGGCTTCTAGCTAGTGAGTCTGGGGTCCGGATCCCGCTCCATCTAATCAAGCCTGGGTAACTGGGAAGTTTTCAGTGCACACAGGGTGAAGAGGAAGTGAAGAGCCATCAATTAGAGGAGTTGCATTGGTAGAAGGAAGGCAAGATATTGGAAATGAAGATGGAGACAAAGATGAGTGAGGATTAGAGAGGTTTCGCGTGCATTTCGGATTGTGAGGGCGATTGTTACTTCCCGGCTGCCCACACCGTGGAAGTTGGTTGCGTGACCGCAGAGCCCAGGGGACAACTGCTTGAGGCCGGTCACACGCGGCCTGTTTTTGTTTGTTCTTTTTCATTTGGTGTGTCTCAGTAGCATATTTATCACTTCTGCCCTGTGACACGGCAGCAGGAAGCGCGGTCGTTGTTAATCCGGGCCCCGACCGATCCGGCATGATATTTTGTGATTTACTTTGAGTCATAGCATTGGGTTGGGTAACTGCTTTTTGTCTAACCGCTATCCAAACAACCTTTCTGGCATGGTAGGACCTCAAGCGACATAAGTCTCAGCCAGTATAGCTTGTTGGGTCATTGCGGTGTTCAAGCCCGACCACCACGTCAAGGTAGCAGCTTTCGGTCGGGTAACTGGGAAGTATCATCCCTCACACAATATATGTAGCTGGTAAATTGGTACATAAAGTGTGTCTTATATAAACTGAGTTCTAAGAACATCTTTAGTGTATTTATTTAGTTGTGTGTGGTTTTACGCAGTAATGAGCTTTTATTTGCTCGTTGATACTTCCGATAAGAATTTCTGTTTATGATTGCACCATATTGACCAACTTCTTATTTTGACACTCGTCCTGCACTTTCACTAGTATTACAGCTGTTGGTGTTACCAGAATCGATGTTTAGTTGTTTCTATTTCGCGTACTAAACGTAGTTTCACAAAAAAACTATACAATCAATTATTTACGTGAATTGATTGTATTTGTCTTTATAATTTCCACTCTCCCCTGTGACATCCCATAATATGGATCACTTTAGTCTTCAATGTAGTTATATGTTAACATTTTTTAATACTCGTACTGTGACAAATTTGTTTAGAACATATCTTCTCAATAAAAAAAACAAGTGCAAGGTTTCCAAAATCCTTTCTGGCCGAGGTATAGCGGATGATAAGCACCTGTGATTCAGGGCCGAACAAAGGAGGACAGGGACTTGGGTTTTAAGTTCACGATGAAATCTAAAACCTACCCGTTTTCCAGGGAACTGTTGTCAACCTCTAGGTAGGTGTCATACGACAATAAACAAAATTTTAAGTTGTTGGTTACATATGCGGAGCGCTTGTGGAGCCAGTTATAATGGCCGTTGCTCTAGGAACTTGATTTTTCGTGCTCGGGAACATCTACCAGTATAGCTGAGTAAAGGTGTAGTAAAAACCATCAACAGTTCGATATTAGAGACCACCTGGTCCAAACCGGCCACAAAACCAGCATTGAAGAATCCTTTTCTATCACCTATCGGGTACCAAATAAATTGCCAAAAGCATCCAGGTAGCGAATACTCCAAACAGCAAAGGCTATCGCGATTCGCCTTAAACAACCAGTGCTTTGTGTACAGAAGAAACACGTCCAACCACTAATACTGCCCTGGACTGCTGTGGAGCTTGCAAATTCATAAAATACCTTATTACATCGTCTTTTTTGACATGACCTTCCATCCTGTACATATAAACTCTCCTACCTTGTTATTACACTTACATTAACTAAGCTTTTGTTTTCTTATTTAAACGTAGTCGTTAACTTACACACTGGCACAACGCATATAAAATGCGACCCCAAATTTTTTCTTTCTCTACCCCTGTCCTTGACATGATCATTCATCCATTTGAAGTTTATAATCAATATGAATAGAATTGAATATGAACATGACTCATGAGAATTTATTACCATACATTTGTTGTCATTCATGGTCATTTTCTCTGTAATATTGGTGTTCACTTTAGTATTACAATTTTACATATTACCACATACACGTATATTTTGGACTATAATCTATTAATAATCTAATTGCAAATAACTTTTGGAATTCTGATCTAAGTGATTCGATGTTACCCCTTAAAAACCGCTAACGTTGTTAATAACAATCATTCTTTCATTATTATCGTTATATAACTGTTGAACCTGATAATGAAGTTATCGAAAAGAATATTCTTTGTTCAGTAATCAATCTTTTGAGATATGAAAAGATTGGTGGTTTTTGATCAGAAATGTCTTTGCTCCATCTTTCGTGTTAGGTGGAGCAATATGGTTAGGCGTAGTGTGGGGTAAGAAGTAGAAGTCAATAGATGAAACTGTGATGCTCCATCGGTTGGGTTGGCTAGAGCATATCCTACGCATCTGGAGTTATCATCTTCCTCAACGCGCATTGTCAACTGAAACGCTACTAAGCTGGAAAAATGTTATGGGTAGTGGCCAGACGAAAATCTATCACCAGTCCATTAAGCCCTGGACTGTTGGTTAGAGCCATCGATGTACTAACAATTGCTTTGTTGTTGGAAGTAATTTGCGTTCTTTCCACGTTTTTGACCACAATTTTTCACTGTGTTCCAGTTTCAAGTTAATAATTATTGAATTCTTATTATCAATTTCTCCTAGATTCTGTTCCCTGCATATTGAGTACTTTTATATCTCTGTTTTGATTCATTACAGGAATTTTAAAGAAAAACATGCCTATCTTATGCTGTAGATGTCAGTCGAAAGGATATATCAAACGTCCAAAAACTGTAATTGTCTCATTTCTCTTAAATTTTCTAATTGACTTAGGGTGATATTATGTGTAAAGATTGTTTTTCTTGGTGTTTTGAAGAGGAAATACATTGGACGATTGTAAATGCCAAACTTATTAACCGTGGTGATAAAATAGCTATTGGCGCTTCTGGTGGTAAAGGTAAACACCATCCAATTCGAATTATTTTGCTTATTTTTTTTTCTACATTTTTAGACTCCACAGTATTAGCTCATGTACTCAATCTATTGAACAAAAGGTATGACTATGGAGCAGAATTACTCCTTCTGTCTATTGATGAAGGAATAAGTGGTTATAGGGATGATTCTTTAAGGGTATGTCTTGTCTTTTTTCAGGTTTCTATGTATTTGAAATCGCATACAGACTGTACAACGAAATCAGATTCAGTATGCACTTCCCCTAAAAATTCTTTCCTATCAAGTAAGGTTGTTTGCTTTACCAATAATCCAATCAGGATTTGTATGGTTGGTCAATGGATAATATTGTGAAGCAAATTGGAAACAAACGAAACTGTAAGTTGATATCATAATATTACTATTCACCAACAATACTTCATAGGTACATTTTGTGGGATATTTCGTCGTCAAGCTTTAGATAAAGGTGCATTGCTTCTTGGTGCCAACAAAATATGTACAGGTCATAATGCTGATGATATTGCAGAGACTGTATTAATGAATAGTAAGTCCAGGTGATTCGATGCAAAAAGTGGGTCTTTTTGTACTGTACTAAGACTTGTAACTTCTTCGCACTATACAAACCTCTGAAGACTGAAGTTTGCCAGTATCTTAATGGCATAAGTTCAGCCCTCTCATAATAGGTTAATGCCACAGAAGGAGGTATGACTAATGGTCAACCTATATTTCAAATCTTTTTATAGCATTGAACCATGTATAAATCAATAAACATTTCTCCTGCTTATTTTATTGCATCTTGATCATAAGCGTTCATGAATAGATCTTTTAACATCAATTCCGTATTAGTTTGTGGTATATATACCAGAGTAACAGTCTGTCTGTCTGGATTCAACATAGAACTTGGCACCGAAGTGCAACAGTTCGAGTTGCCACGTTCCAAATAGCACACAAAGGTAGACAAGAAAATGAGTGAGGAGAATCAATAGAGTTTTGACAAGTATAAGAGTGAGAATGAGTAATGGTAGAAAGGAATATGAAAGATTACAGAGACTGAATACAGTAACAGTGTTGTTTATTAAGTGACATTTCGAACAGACTTTACTATTCATGATCACATCAGCCTATATCCGCAGTAAGCAAGTTAATGTAGATAAATCAAAATTGCAGTTTACACGCTTCGAGGTGAAATTTCATCACAACTTCCCTTTGGAAACTGAAATTATTCTGATCACAATACATGTTGTGCTTGATACTACTAATAGCAATCAAAAAAGTAAACACAAATTCATGAGACTATACTACTGACTAGTTGAAATGAGTAGTTGGAAAGCACTTACATCAACCGGTAGTACTTGCTACCCGGATCGAAGTGATCTAGAGACCGAACGGCCATTTTGCTGGTTTGTAGTTTCATTCTACAATAGCCCTTACATTTTACTCGTATATCTTATTGTACTAATTTAGATTAAGAGATTTGTGGGGATTTCGACTAACTTCAATTGCCAAATTTTGTCGCGAATCAATATCATTTGGGAACTAGGGAACACTGGACAGCAGTTTCGTCCTAGTTTGGGACTCTTCATCAGTGCAAGCCCACAACTTTACCCAGAATTGAAAAACTGTGAAAAACTGCCCGGCGCTCTTCACCGGGTTGACTGTCCATTGGATGACAGTCTAGGGGAGATGGCTAAACCCTGATTCCAAACCTCCAACGACTGGCGTATGAAGCTCAATGGAGCTCACCGGCAGACGTATGGACAAAGGGCTTGTTGGATGTTCTGGATGTCTGGCCCCATTCAAAAAGGCGTATGAACCGAACTCCGGTCACCGGCTTCCAATGGATAGTGGACTCCCTACTCCACTCCTACTGCCTTGTAGGTCACACTTGGTTGTGTAAAGGCTAGAGCTACACTCTCAAACAAAAGGCCGAGCGATTCTGGGGACATTACTCGTACCAAATTCCCATGAAACTTCATGAACTCTCTTAATTGGATAACCCTGTCGCAAAACGTTGCGTCAGATCGCCGCTCCTGGACAGCGATGATTCGAGATGTTCATGAAGCCGGCTCATCCTCCCGTAGGAGATAGCCGAAGTAAAGTAAGTAAGTCACCTTGAGGTTGCGAGAAAACGTTTGCTGACCATTCAACCACTTGTGAAAGAATTCAATGACCTGTGAATTCCAACTTTAGCGGAAATATGGTTCATTGGCTTAAGTACTCGGTTTTCAGCCTATGGGTCACGGGTTCGAGTCCCTGTCCACCTACTCGAGCTTGGGCTCTCACGCGATAAGTGTGGCTCTTAGTCTGGTACATGGAAAATCTCTTCCGGGTAACTAAGCTTAAAAAAAATTATCATTTCATGATATGGTGCTACTGATTTGCAGAATACAAAACCATCTGAATTATTACCACTTGTGTACACTCAGTGTGTTAAATGCAAATAGTAACAATTCCTTATTATTTACAATCTGTTTCTTTTATAGTCCTTCGAGGTGATATTGGCCGATTGAAAAGATGCACAGCTATCATGACAGTAAGTAATTAATAAAGTAACCAATTCTCCTTAAGTTTTTTTTTTGATTTATTCTCATACACACACATTATTCTGTGTAGGGTACAGACGGTGTACTGCCACGTTTTAAACCATTCAAATATGCCTATGAAAAGGAGATTGTCATGTATGCACATATGCATAAATTGGATTATTTTTCAACTGAATGTAAATATGCACCACAAGCCTATCGGTAAGTTTTCAGTGTGTTTATTTTGATAATTTGACGTTTAGAGGTCATGTGAGAGCGTATATTAAAGATTTGGAGAGAATACGACCCAGAACTATCATAGGTATGTTGTTTGTTTATTAATATTCTTACTAACTAATCTTTTTTTTTTCAAAAGATATTATTGCATCTGGAGAACGTATGGCTATTCGAAGTGATGTAAAAATGCCCACAAAAGGTAAGGCCTTTGTGCTTTTTTTTATCGCATCTATCAATTCATTTCCTTATGTATACACTTTATCTAGAGGTGATTTTTACCAGTAAACAAAATATGATTTTCATCGTACCAGGCTGGGGTTTCAGTCCGACCCAAATTAAGCCAGTAGATAGTATTTTTAAGCTTATTTTTATTTATATATATATTTTTTATATTTACAGCTTGATGCCACACTGTATTTTCAGTACAAGTATGGAATTTTCAGCATGGATATCGGTAGCCCAAATTTTGCAGGCCGAACATAGATATCAGGTGTGCGTCGGCAGGGGATCGAACCCCGGACCATATGCATGGTCGGCGAGAGTCCTAACCTCTGTGCCACCGACGCTTCTCATACTAAACATATTTCATAGTCCCCAGTACATTGAGCCGTGCGTCGGTGGTCCATTGGTAGAATGCTGACTAACCACGCTTGTGATTTGGGGTTCGACTCCCGGCCAAAGTACTCCTAAACCTCACCCAGTTTACTACTCGATAGTAAACCCTGAAAAAGGGAAGATTGGGTAAGAGACTGAGAACTCCACTTGGTAAAACTAACACCGCAACTACTGAAACTTGAAGCCCTGTGTTCCACTTGGGACGTAAAGCAATGCGAAGAAAGTAGATTGAGCCTCTTCTAAGCATATATATGTCTCACAATCGTAATAAAAAGAACAAAAACAAAGGTAAATCACATTTTAAACGTTGGCTTTTCAAAAGTAATGCTAAGTGATAACCAAGTTTTCAGAATCAGAGGTTTTACATTATTTTATTGTGTCTCCAGTCATCTTTTTGTTTGTTTAAGATAGCTGATTGTCTAATTGGAGTAATCAATTTTTGATTGGACACTAGTCAGTAACTAGTGTAATGTGTATAGTCCTGTCTTTGGTGCAGACTGAATTCTGCCAGTCAAGTTTGCAATGTGACCACCATGCTAGGTGGCTGGTATTAGGTAGTTGGAGGCAATCGGCAGAAAGCCTTGGAGACCTAGGTGTCTTACTAATTGGCACTCACAAGTCAGCAAGGCGTATCTGCAACCTTGTTTACTTACAGATTACTGCACAGTTCGCTAAGACACTTATTATGTCTTGAATATTAAGTGGTTTCCATTTGCGTTTCTCATTTTCTTCCTTATAGCAAAAAATTGGCACCTACAATACTTGTGCTCACAAGTATTCATTTTTATACATTCATACATATCACTAGCAGGTGGTTATGGTTCGGTGATTAAAAAGGGTTGGATAACTGACTTATTTGACACAACTGATCACCTTTTGCGAATTTCAAGAGTTGTTTTGTAGAGATTTGATTGGTTTCATGTTTGATTACGGATTGATATCAGTTAGGGAACCATCAAAAACCTGGGAGTACTGGGGAGCTGTTTTGTCCTAGTATGGAACGCTTTATCAGTACGCACCCACAATTACACCAGAGATCGAACCGTGGACCTCCAGATGTTAAGGTCAAGCTCGTTGACCACTCAATCACTTATGCTGGAATCAAATGGCTCGTGAATTTACTTGTGATTCGAAAAAAACAATAAAAAGACGTAATTTGTCTGAATCGTGTAATGTAATTGCGCAACACATTTCGACCGATACACCTACCTGTCATAGAAATTTCTGTGAAAATAAAGTGTTCAAGGGTAAGAGGATATATTGAAGGTCAAAATAACAATGGAGATAAGTAAGTAAGGGAGAGTGATGCTCAGGAAGGCTTCGTGTGCTTTTGGAAGTGTGTGGGCGGTTGTTACTTCCCGGTTGCCCACACCGTGGAAGTTGATTGATTCTTCGGGAACCTGAAACAGAAAGAGTGTTGCGTGACCGCAGAGCCCAGGGGACAACTGCTTGAGGCCGGTCACACACGGCCTGTTTTTGTTTGTTCTTTTTTTTGTTTGGTATGTCTCAGTAGCATATTTATCACTTCTGCCCTGTGACACGGCAGCATGAAGCGCGGTCGTTGTTAATCCGGACCCCGACGGATCCGGCATGATATTTTGTGAATTTGTTTGAATCATAGTATTGGATTGGGTAGCTGCTTTTTGTCTAACCGCTATCCAAACAACCTTTCTGGCATGGTAGGACCTACAGGAACATAAGTTCTAGCCAGTGTAGCTCGTTGGGTCATTGCGATATGCAAGTCCGACCACCACGTCAAGGTAGCAGCTATTGGTCGGGGGAGATAAGCAAACCAGATTGAGGTAATAGTACATTTATCCTGATGTCAAAAAAAGTTTGCCGAAGAAGGTTTACAATGTGATCACAAATTGTTTCTAAACACTTAAAAGTGCCTTAAACTTCCTCATCGCTAAGGTTTGTATAAACTTTAGGATACACTATAAATACATTTTATAGACGTTTTTAAAAGAGGCGTGGACATCAATTTTATTCCCTGTATCTTTAATATGTTTCACAATGGAAGAACTGTGTCATCTGTTCCCACCATTTGTGAGTTCAGAGGATTCTATTTGCTTCTGAAGCCGTTACTTGCAGAGGTCAATGAGTCCTCCTGATATATAGACTTAATTTTCCATATCTATTTGTATTTCTCTCATCCCACTTATTGATTAATGAACTAATTTTCTCTCAGCCTACTTATGACCTTTGGAATCTTATTGGTTGTTCACCGTTTAATTTATCAATGACATTAGTGCCTATCATGGTCATTTTAAACATATACAATCGAGCGCTGTCAATCTTTTTGGACTGTTGTTCTAAGACAGTAAAAGCTGTCTTATCAACGTCCAGTCTTCCCTTCTGTCCTTTACGTGCCAGCGGAGTTATTATTGTTGTCGTGGGATTAGGACAGATTAGCCAGCGCATTAAGTTAGTATTCGCTCATAGCCTACTAGGTCGTAGTTCCGGTCACAACACTTCCCTATGTATGTATGACCAAAAGTACATTCAAATTGATAGATACAGTGGCATCTGATGTCATTTTTCATGTGCTCTAAGAGCTTAGATGGATATTTACACTTCATATTCCCAATTATTGAGACCTCAGCTGCATAAAAAGTTTTTGTTTGACCACAGCGTTCAATCTTTGCTTAAGTAACAAGCTGCTATGATCATCCATCTAGGATGACTTGATATATACATCCTTCTTAGCGGCGATTTGGGGAATGAGTCTTGGTGTTATAACCGCTGTCTATTTCTGTATGGATTTCTCCGGATAATTACTCCCAACCAGAGTTTCTGTCAGTCTTCTTTCCTCACCTTCAAGTATGTTTCCTGTGGATATTTGTTGTATGCTACTTGATCTGTCTATCCTCTCACCCTTTAACACTTTATTATTTTCATATAAATTCCAATGAGCAAATCTGTCTGTCTGTCTGTTTTCGACATAGAACTTTGCACATACGTGCGGCAGTTCAAGTCGCTACACTCCATGCAGCACACAAAGCAAGAGAAGAAAGTAGGAGAAATGTATAATATAGACAGTAAACAGAGGTGTGAAACAAAGGTATAATAATAACGAAGAAAAAAATAGTTTCATTGGAAATCATAAGTCACAAGGACGATTTTGAGCCATGTCACCAATTGTTTCCAACCATTGGTTTTTACCGTCCCGAGGACCCCAGCCAGAAAGTCTACACCTTCCTACGTGGCTTAGACTAACTGTTGTGGATTTCATTGACTGGTGCCATGTTTTCGTTTGACCGCCACTAGCTCTTTTCCAGCCTGACCCTATATCAGCTAACATTGCCCGTTGAGGAAGGCGATGACTAGGCATACGTAACACATGTTCTAACCATCTCAGTCGATGTAATTTCACAGTCTCGTCGACTGAGCAAATACATTAAGTGACTGATTATTTGTGAACAGTAATGCTACCTGACCATGCACGTGGCTTGGGGTTCGAGTTCCGGCCAGCGCACTCATTTGCTTTCCTTAACCGCTTATAATTCCTAGAAAGAGAGGCGGTTCGGTGTGAGGCTAGCAACCCTACCACCACCACAAAAAACCCCTGATACTGAAACTTCAAAGCGAAAGCTTTAAAACCCCATGTTCCACTGGGAACGCAAAGGAATAAAACAATGCCTACGATTTCAATTAACTGTTCATGAAAAAGTTGAACAACAGAGCTGCATGGAAATGCTATAAATTAATTTTCGGATTAAATGTCTTTCACACGCCAAATATCATAATCCGATTAAATATACTTATCTGAGTGTTATATATATATATATATATATATATATAAAGTTTCTATATAACACTATGCTACTCACGTTATCTATTTATGGAATTTTCTGAATTCTCCGTGGCTTTATTCCACTGAACTTAAATAGTCTGTTTCCGTTGGATCCTATTACGCATGCTTTAACGAAGTCTTTAGATTAACTTGATGTTGATTGGTGGTGGCGGCTAGTAGTTGAACCCAGGACATGCATTTCCTCAAAATTGGAAGTCTTCAGCTGTATGCACCTGCATCTCGATGAGGGATAGCGTTTGAAACTATAGGTTGGAGTCATATAGTGGGGATACTTTGACTCACTGGGATGCACATACGCCAAACCACGCGTCTCAGATGCCACTGTTATCCATCATCACCAGTCAAAAACAACTTCGTACGTGTGTTAACTTTCAAAAGTTTTACACTTATCCATGTTTTTATTTGCTTTCTTCTTTCTCAGGTACTTGTGAAAAGTGTGGATGCATTTCAAGTCAGCCTATTTGTCAGGCTTGTGTTCTGCTAGAGCAGTTGAATTCCGGTTTACCACAGTTGTCTATAAAAGAAACTGATCCTCATTCTAATGGTGATTAACTGGATGATTTTTAGTTCTTCAATACTTTCTTATCGAAATGTACATCTGAATATACATATTTTGATCTACGGCTTTATACTAAATACCATACTTTTTTCATGGTGTTTTTTATTATTTTCTTGAAAGATACATATTTGTACAGTGATCATTAGGAAAAAACAATAAACTATTCTGAGCACAATTGTCTTTTACGTTAATAATATTATTGTCCCCTTGGGTTCCGAGTGGAACATTGGGCTTCACAACAGCACATCTTTGTTTTGTCTTATTTTCTGCGGTCCTCTATAGCTAGCCTCACGATTACCCATAGTCCCTGATCTCCTCCTCACACAATCTCCTTCATGTCATTCTAGGACACTCCACTCTTCGTTTCCTATTCGAATTCCACTCGAGGACCTGGCGCATGACGTTACCCAGTGGTCTCCTCTTTGTGTCTAATCCGTCTCCATTTTCTTCTACATATTTGTTGAACAATAGCTTCCTGGTTCGTTTGTTCACAGAATTTCATTTCTGGACATTTGATCTTCAATATAGAGCCAGTGAAGGCAGCTGTTGATAAAAGTCTGCAACAGGCTGTTGGAAATGCTTCTCGTGACGCGCTACGTTTCCGACCCATATAGAAGAACTGACTAAACATTGGTGTTAAAAATCTGAATCTTGTTCTTGATGCTGCAGAGTGCAGAAGATTTCCAAATCTGGTTTTGACGTCCTAATCAGTGCTGTCGGCCTGTAGTTGAAACGATGCTTCCTAGATAAGTGAAGGAAGTAACCTCTTTCAAGTTTCTCCTGTTGATAGTGATTGGTGCCGTTTGTTGTCGCTGTTGGTTAGTTATCTTCATCACCTCCGTCTATGTTCACCTAGAGTTCCGTCTTTGCTGCTTCATCTGAAAACTTGTTCGTTTTCGCCTGTAAGTCTTCGAATTTGTGTGAAGTTAGACATAAATCAACCTCGAAATCCAGATCTTCTCGAGTCTTCTTATCGGTCCAGCATATTTCCGTCTTCTCACTCCCCACAGTCTGAAGCATATTCCAGTCCACCACAATTATCATCAGTGATAATAGGCAGGCAGCCTTGTCTTACTCCTGTATTCACTTCGAACGCCTCACTGAGTTTTCCGTTGTGGATCACCACCACCTGACACGTGGCATTGTTGTATAGCCAGCTGTTGAATGAGGATGATAAAGATTTAGATACTGCACGCCATAGTGTTGAAGTAATAGTAGTATTAATTCTCGGTCAAAGCTGTCGAAGGCCTTCTCGAAGTCGATGAAGTTGAGGTAGAGTGAGGTTTGACTGCCATTCTATGCTTTGTTCGATCACGATGCGTAGAGTTGCAATTTGTTCAGCACATAATTGCGTTAAACCACTATTAATTTAGCTTTACGACTATGATCGTGTGAACCATAGTCAGGCACATAAGTTTTGTTTGCTGATATAGGCACATGTATGTTTGGTGCCCTCGGAGCGTCCCATAGTGAGAATTAATTTCTTCTTGGAGTATTTGCAATAAGAAATTAGTTTTTCGTGACCTTGGTGCCTTAGGGACGTTTGACTGAAGCTTGGTCACATATAGCTGGTGTTAGATGTGAAGAGATTTATGTCCGGCTGCAAACTACTACAGGGTAAGTTGGGATTTATAATTCTTGTGACTCGCCATTTCTATGTTTTCACCAGAGCAGGAATGAAGAGTCACTGTCGTCTTAAGGAAAACCTTTTCTGCTGTCAATCTTCTTTTCGCCAGCAACATATCTTCACGCTCAAACTATACCAAAGTGTAAGGGATTTACATTATTTTACGCTTACCTATATCCAGTCAATCTTCATTGGATGATAGTGTGGTGAGAGCTGGCAGCAAGCCAAGATTGCGGACAACAAATTACGTCAATGTTGACGCCCCGAATCAGGGTCATGAGAAAGACAATCACAAAGCTTGGCCTTGAGAAAATCACCAGCCGATCACAGTGGAGTTAACGTGTGGAAATATGATTCGCAGATATATGGCTTAACTTTCTGAGAAATGGCCACAAAGAGATAACAGAATAACCTTCAGCAAGAAAACAACCAATCAGAAGAGGTTACTTCTCAGCTAACAATAATGTACATAAAAATCTATAAATACCTGTTGATTTTCTCAATCAACGATCTGTTGCCTGACCCTTGTCTTCTGTCGTTACAATAGGATCTGCATGAAAGATCGTTTCCACTCGGGTACAATATTCAATGTAGAAGACAGTCGATGAACATTTATTGACAGAAGTTAGAATCCGGCCCAAATGGATGAGTGATCAATGAGCCTGACCTCGTAACCTGAAGGCCCAGGGTTCTCGTGGATGCGTATTGCTGAAGAATCCCAAACCAGGACAAAACAGCTGTCCAGTACACCCTAGTGATTTCAATGGATCTCTAACTGACATCTATCCGTGACCAAACTTGAAACTAATCAAATCCCTACTAACTACCTCTTGAGAAGATTTATAAACAAGTAATTTGAGCAACTTACGTTTCTGATGACACAAAGTAAAATTAATTGGAACTGTTACCAATCATTCTTACCCCGTATATATATTATATATATTACACTATACTAACTTAACTGCCATGTAATAGTACTATCTCAGACGCTATTTACTTCTACTACTTACCTGACTTTGTGAACAGTCTTGCCTATCACTATGACTACACTAAACTATTGGGTTATACAAATAGGATTACATATTGAGTACGTTTGAAGTACATAATCATTGAACATTTCTTGATCATTAATTAATACCAGTAGTAAGGGGAAAAGGATTGATTGCAAAAATTGGAGATGGTTTGTCAATGAAATCGTATAATGATGACACGAAATTATTTCTATCAGAACAATAGCATCCTTCAAATCTACAAACTCACTCAGAGACAAGCTCTGTAGGCTAAAAGACCCGGTGGACCCAATTAAACAAAATAATATAATTTACAAAATACCCTGCAATGACTGTAAATGAGGTCAAATACATAGGTCAAACTAGTAGGTCGGGGGTAGTAAGATTGTCGGAACATAAGAATTTAGCTAAGGTAAGAATGGTTGACCCCGAGAAGATAAGTAATTTAGAAAAAAGCTCAGCAATTGCACTGCATGCATTAATACACAACCACACAATATGCTGGGCGAGGGTTGCAGTTCTAAGAAGTAATATAAGTAGGTGGAGAGAGAGATTGATTACTGAATCTTGATTCATTGAATCTACACCCAACACATTCAATATAAATGACTCAATGCAAATACCAGAGATATGGAAGACATTATTACCACCAGTCAGTCAAATCAGAGGAGAATGATAAATAATCTAAAAATTCTATTTCAATTCACGCACATCATAACATTCTAACAAGTTACTCATTTTGACTATAAAAACACTCGTCTTATTTCCCATCTGATTGTAATTGATCAATAACACTCATATTATTATTTCTGAATGTACATTACCGCATATTGATTTTTATTTAAATGTATATAAATGAAGTAAAAAGTGTGAGTGAATTGATATGATTATAAGCAGTAATAGTTTGTGCTCGAAACGTCATCAGTTAGTATTACTGTATAAGACTGTGTGAGCTATCAAAATAAAATCCTTTCTATAATGCAGTTATACTTTACCACAGTGCCCAAGTTTCATACTTATATCAATAGGACTAATAGAAATTGACATCAAAACTTTCCATTTTGTTTTGCTTTAGAAATACCTGATAATAAGATTATACAGTTTGTCATTCACCTTCAAGAAACAAGGCAAACCATCATCTGCAAGTTTAAGGGTCTAAAAGAACATTTGTCTATAAGCAAACCTAATATTACATATTAATTATTAATAATAATAACAACGTAACAGAATTCACGAAAACTGTTAGCAGCAAGACAATGTTTAGTGAAATTCCTATGAATATATACACAAGTTGAGGTCATTTGAATAGGGATGCTATGGCAACTGTTTGTATACCAAACTATCTCATTCCATGAACACAGATTATCCAGGAAATGTCAGTCTTAGCAAAAAAGAAATATTTAGACAAATCACAGGAAAAATAGAAATCTGTTTTTTTAAAAGTATTCTTGCTTTAAAGTTTATAATATGGTAGATTTCAATAATAAATTACTGGATGCTTTGGAAAAGTTGATACTTTAAAAGTCAAATATAAAAGAAAGCTGATGGGAAGCCTTTGTGTTGAAAAGTTATAAAATATCATATCACTTGAGACAAACAGAACTGCTGACCTTATTTGAATAAGATTGAATTATTTGAATCCCAATAAAAATACAGAATGAATAAAAGAATTCCATGGAATAAGAATAAAGGAGGAACTGACGGAATACCTGTATATCATCATGCTACTAAGGATAATAGATTGATTTATTGTATTGTAACTGCAGAACAAAGACAGCACATTGGATCCGCCGACGCACTCCTTACCTCGCTAGCCAGAAATAATGCTGGTGAAGAAAGGTTAGGCATGAGGCTAGCAACTCATCCTGTAAATAAACATTACAAAACTTCAAGCACTAGCTTGAAGCCCCATGTTCCACTGGGAACGTGAAGGAAAAAAACTGCAGGACAGATTAGTATTTAATAGACGGGATTGTTTATTGGCAATTTGATGGGCAGATACAGCAAAATACATCTACCTTATATTAGAATCACCATCTGCACGTATCCTCCGTACTATGCTTCTTTTGTCCTCCTATCATGTTTTCTATGTAGTTTCACAAGAATTGTTCATTTCTGCTCGTCGTTACTGAATCTATCCCTCCTCTGTTCAATATTCTTGCAGACAATGCATATATATTTATATTTGTGTGTATATACTACTTAAAAAGTTATGTCAGTAGCACACGCCACAATGTTACCTAGTTCTTTGGCTTTTTTATGGAGAATTGTGGCACACACTCCTTTGTTAGGAGATACCGGCGTTTTTGCCTCAGATTCCTAGAGCTTTTAATTCCCCAGACAGTGTGAAAGAGTTATGTGTAAACAAGGAAACTCTTGGGTAACTGGGGGAAAAAGTGTGAGCAAAACTAATGCTATAATTTCAAGTGAAAAGTGCTAATTAACAATTAATCTGTGCCCATATTGAAACTAGAAATACACAATGAGTCTGTGAAATGTATTAACTGTTTCTCTTGTATACAAAATTACATCGGTCG